CTGCTGATCTGTTTCATCATGTTCCTGCTGATCCGTTTCATCATGTTGCTGCTGATCTGTTTCATCATGTTGCTGCTGATCTGTTTCTTCATGTTGCTGCTGATCTGTTCCATGTTGCTGTGTTCATTTGTGCTCATCTGCTCACACAGACTCATGTTCGTGCTGCTGTTCGGTATATTGTTTTTATTCTACTAGTGCTTAGTGTATTTTTATTGGCATTTTTCTTAGTTCATATTTTAGATCTTATTACTGTTTTTCTTTTACATTTTCCGGACGACTGTACGTACATATTCGCGTTGTACCTCGGTGCAATTCCAATAAAGTTTATTCTGATTCTGATTTTAATACTTTTGTTGGATGTAACTGGGACCCTGTGTACATAATTTTGTTCCACCACATGAATCCTTGAAAATTGTTTGTTGTTTAAATGACAGTTAATCTACATTATTCACCAATTTTACTGATATCAAACTAGACTGTAGTTAATTTAGTATTTATGGGAGAAAAAAATACAAGCATCTTGTTTTGAAATTGACCCGGATGTCCTTTGAACTATATCCGGTTTTGAGTCCCATCGTTTAAATGTGATGTCCTTGACGCTTTAGGTAAAATATTATTATTATTACGTAATTCTGGATTGTAAATACGATTTTATTCATCGAATTTGTTTTTATATATTTTGAAGGCTTATTCGGGATGTTCTGAGCAAGTGTATAGTTGAGAAAAATATGTTTTGTGTTCAGCCTGGAGGCTAACAGCTAACGTTAGCATCGTTATGGACCGAACGCCAATTCAATTAAATGTATTTAAATAGCACCAAGTCACAACAGAAGTCCGATCAGGGCACTGAACAGAAACGCCAAGCTGCATAGAAAATTATGACTGAAGCATTTATTTATTTATTTTTTTACTTTGCAACAATTACTTATGGCTAACTGAAAGTGCGTTTAGCTGCATTTACGTATATTCTGTTTTCGGTGTGTTCGGTCCCCAAATGATTTATTGAAATGCCTTTTCTGCTGAACGTGGTAATAAAAAACATGATGTGAATAGATCATGGAAGTACTGTAAGCCATTATTAACAGAAACAGATGATCTGATGTGACGACAGTAAACTGGTATGACGTCATGAGTCTGGTCCAGAGGGTGTGTGACCCCCGGCTCCACCAGTTTGTCTGCCAGTTTATGATATGCACGAGGAACCACACAATATAAAAATAACAGAGAATATAAAAAAACAACAATCGAGTTCTAAACAGGTCGGACAGAAACATGAAAGTTTATTTTGGTGCAGGATTAATTTGATTGTGCAGAAAGGGGGCGGAGTTTAACAGTTGGAAGGACTTCCTGTTGCTGTGTGGAGCTCCTGTGGTCTCAGTGTGACTGAAGGTTCTGCAGGAAGAGTCCAGGGTGTCCTGCAGGGGGGGTGACGTGTCGTTCAGGATCTGGAGCAGGTTCCTCAGCGTCCTCTGCTCAGAGACTGCAGGTCCACTCCCAGAACTGAACCAGCTCTTCATGAGTTCATGAGTCTGCTGCTCCAACACCACAGAGCAGAAGATGACGCTGTAAATATTTTATTTTATTTTCAACTTTCAGCCACACGGAGGGTTTGAAGGTTTAAACATCTGAAGCAGGTTCCTGAGGGGGAAAACAAAGTGCAGTTTTGCAAATAATAAACTAAACTGAGTCTGTTTTACAAAAATATTCCAAGTTTAACTTTTGTGTTTTTATTTAAAGCTATGCCAGCAAATGTTTTTTTTTTTTTCTGCTATAAAAGATGATAGTAAATTAGTTGAAATAGAATATTTTTTATTTTTTGTTTTAGAAATGTTCTTCTGGAGCCTGAGACCAACGCTGACATCACTCATCCAAGGTGAGTACCACACTGAACTGTGCAAAAATCTTAATCTACCTGAACCTTTTCAGGAGAAATTATTTTAACTCTGACCTTATTTTGAAATAAAAAGACTTAAACCCAAAGTATGAACCCAAGGCGTGTCGACCCAAAATCAGACGACTAAGTTTTAATCTGTGGTCAGCAGCTGCTCACACACACAATCTATTCTCACGTTTCCTGTGTTAACCTTTTCTTCTCTGCAGCATCCCAGCTCGCCTCCGCCTGGTCAAGCCCCCTCCTCTCCAGGACCATGGCTACCCTCAACCAGATGCACCGCCAGGGGAAGCCCAGACAGCGGCCAGCATCCTTGGGTGCCATGTTTGGCCGCCCTCAGCTCAAGGCCATCATCCTCAAGACGATGATTAGGAAACCCAAGAAGCCCAACTCTGCCAACAGGAAGTGTGCTCGGGTGCGGCTGTCCAACGGCAAGGAAGTGATCGTGTTCATCCCCGGGGAGGGACACAACCTACAGGAGCACAACATAATTCTGGTTCAGGGCGGGAAGACCCAGGACCTCCCCGGGGTCAAACTGACTGTGGTCAGAGGCAAATATGACTGCGCTCATGTGGTGCAGAAGAAACAGTAGCTGCTGCGATGGAGTCTCTCTGTGTGTGTGCGTGCGTGCGTGCGTGCGTGCGTGCGTGCGTGCGTGTGTTAAAAGAGACCACATCATATCTTACTGTAAATAAAATGTTTATAAAAAGACGAGTTCTGATTTATTCACCAATTTGTCCTTTTTTTAACAAAACGTGTTTTAAAAGATCACAATCACAGAAATAAACTGAAAATACTTTAAATCATAAAAAACAGTTTTAGTAAATGTCACTGAAAACTAATGAAAAATGAGAAGTTGAGAAATGATTTAGACTTACTCTGATGTAAGAGTTGGTTTTGAGATTCCAGGTTCTTCTTCGTTGTTCTCATCACGTGCTACATGAGATGAGAATGAAATGATGTGCTCGTCTCAGTTACACCCGAAAAGAGCAAAAATATAAAGTATAAAAAACGGTATACAAAGATCTAAGATATACAGTAATAATGTAAAACCACACGGTGTATTAAAGAGCAGCCTGAACTTTCAGCAGAGTTCAGATTAAACAAGAACTCCATGGAGCTGAGAAACGTTCACTGTCAAGATTTAAAGCCTAAACCTGGTTTCATGTGTAAACTATGACCTTTGAAAAGAAGAAGTGCTTTGTGTTGTCATCGTGTGTTCCCAGACGATGATGAAATTAGTTCTCTGCATTTTTTCATTCAACCTTTCTTTCTACATCTTGGTCTCATTGGGCCTCAGGGACACGTTTACAAGAGAGACCTGATTTAAACAAAGAACACACGTACAGACCCTAACATACAATCATAAAAACAAAATGTAAAAGAAATGAAACAAAAGCAGATACAATATAAAGCGATGTAGAAAACTAAAAACAGGAACACGTCTGCGTTGGTTTGTCCATGAACTTAACATGTTTAAATCCACTTGGAGAGGTCAAAGGTCGAGAGCTTCAGATGTTTTTACAAGATATTCCAGGAAACAGGAGCGGAGTAGGAGAAGGTCCTTTTGTCTAGTTCAGTCCTCACTGAGGGAACACTGCAGGTAATGATGTCCTGAGAGCGCACGCTGTAGCTGCACTCACACAGAGACATGTAGGAGGAGATGTATGAAGGCAGCAGACCAAGAAGTGATTTAAAGATGAAGATGTACCAGTGGGAGAGTCTGTGACAGGATATGACCTTAATATGGGATATTAACCCATCACACGTGTGATACACCCAGGTGGAGCAGTGGGCAGCTGTGTAAGTGTCCGGGGGCAATTAGGGGTTAGGTGTCTTGATCAAGGACACCACAACATGTGGGCATGGCGGGGAGTTGAACCTGCAACTTTCTGGTCCCAGGCCAGCTGCCCCACCTCTACACCATCTCAGCTGCAGTTAGTTTGTTTATTAAACATGAATAAGTTTGAAATCCTTCTTCGTCTTCACGACTCTAGATAAATGCTCCAACAACTGAATAATTGTTACATTTTAAACCAAAGCTTTCACGTACCAGTGAACTGGACGTGTATTTACCAGTTTAGAGTGGAAGAGGTTCAGTGAGACTGAAACGCTGAAGAGAGCATCTTCAAATAGAACCGCTTGGGAAAATGCTTTTAGCAGAATAATCAGAGGTTAAATTTTTACCAAACATTTTTCTGATTTGTTGAAATGATGAAAGCAGCAGGATAATTTTTATCCAAACCATTAGAAACATTTATAAATTAACCAAAAGGTATCTTTAATTTTCTCTATTGTTATGTTGTTTATTTGTCATGTGCAGGCTAACCCTGTAATACCACTTATCTGTGCTGCTGATTATCCATGCTGCTGATCTCATACTGCTGACTGTATCATGCTGTGGTATTCATTCATACCCATCTCCTCACTACAGGCTCATGTTCGGGCTGCTGTTTAATATACAACATTTTTTACATTATTAGTTTTTAGCATAAATCGTTTAGCGTTTGTTTAGCATATATCTTAGTGTATATTTTAGATCCTTACATACTCTTTCTTTTTATACTTTATATTTTTGCTGTTTTTGGTTGTAACTGGGACCTTGAGTACATACTTTCGTTCCGCCACATGTGATGTGAATGACAATAATGAAACTTGAACTTGAACACAAGGTCAACAATGAGATGAAATGTTCAGGATGAGAAGAACCGATTCGACTCGCTAAAAACAAAAACACAAACAAGCATGCGATAAGAGTACAAAATAAAGTATCAAAAAGTGAAAAAGAAATATAATATTTACAAGGTTCAAAAGAAATGTAGTAAACAACAACATGGTAGAATATAATGGTGCAAATAGAATGAATTTGTATAAATAAGCATTTCACTGATAGTAATATTAGCTTAAATGCACGTTATATATATTGCACCTAACTAACATAAAGTACACAAGTTGTGTGACAAGTTATTCAAGGATTCAAGATTCTTTATTGTCATTCGCACCTCATGTGGTACATGTGGTGGAACTAAATTATGTACACAGGGTCCCAGTTACATCCAACAATAAAATGTTTTTTTTTTTAAACAGTAATAAGATCTAAGATATGAACTAAGAAAAACATAATAAAAATGCACTAATAGCACAAAACAATACACCGAACAGCAGCACGAACATGAGTCTGTGTGAGCAGATGAGCACGAATGAACACATCAACATGAAATAGATCAGCAGCAACATGAAACAGATCAGCAGCAGCATGAAACAGATCAGCAGCAACATAAAACAGATCAGCAGCAAGATTGAAACAGATCAGCAACATGAAACAGATCAGCAACATGAAACAGATCAGCAGCAACATTGAAACAAATCAGCAGCAACATTGAAACAGATCAGCAGCAACATGATATGGTTTTTCACAGTGATTATTCTAGTTAGAGATTCATGAGTCTAACAGCCTCAGGGTAGAAGCTGTTCCTCAGTCTAGTGGTTCTACACTTAATGCTCCTCAACCTCCTTCCTGAGGGGAGCGGGGCAAAAAGTGTGTGTGCTGGGTGAGTGGGGTCCTTCATGATGCAGGTGGTCCTCTTCCTGCATCTGGAGGTGTAGATGTCTGTGATGGTGGGGAGACTGACTCCAACATCTTCTGTGCAGCCTTCACCACTCTCTGCAAAGCTTTTCTTTCTGCAGCTGTGCAGCCTCCATGCCACACGTTGATGCTGGAGCACAGGATGCTCTCCACTGCACACCTGTAGAAGGAGGTGAGGACTGAGCTTCCAGACCAGCTCGTCTCAGCCGCCTGAGGAAGTAGAGTCTCTGATGAGCTTTCTTCATCAGGCTGGTGGTGTTGTTGCTCCAGCTGAGGTTGTTGTTCAGGTGCACACCCAAGTACTTGTAGCTGGAGACCACTTCCACCACAGATCCTCCTATGTTCGTGGGGGGTGGGGGGTGGGGGGGGTAGTTGTGTTTGTTCCGTCTGAAGCCCACAACCATCTCCTTCATTGATGGGTTGTTCTTCCTGCACCAGCTCTCCAGGTGTTCCACCTCTTGCCTATAGCTGGACTCATCATTGTTTGTGATGCATCCCACCACCGCTGTATCATCTGTAAACTTTACAATGTGACAGCCTGGATGGGTAGCTGCACAATCATATGTGAGCAGAGTAAACAGAAGAGGGCTCAACACACATCCCTGAGGAGAGCCAGTGCTGAGGGTTATGGTGAAGGAGGAGAAGTTGTGGATCCTCACTGACTGTGGTCTGTTTGTTAAAAAGTCTAGTACCCAGTTGCAAATGGAGGGTCTTAGTCCTAGTGTGAGTAGTTTGACTATCAAGGTTTGGGGGATCATGGTGTTGAAGACAGATGTGAAGTCCACAAAGAGCATACGGACTTAGGAGTCCTTCTGCTCCAGGTGGTTGAGAGCAGTGTGGACTAGAGATGGCATCCTCTGTTGATCGGTTCTCACGGTATGCATACTGATGAGGCTCCTCGTTGATGTTGATGTTTTTTTTTATGTGAGTCATGACCAGTTTTTCGAAGCATTTAGTGACTATCAGGGTGAGGACCACTTGCCGATAGTCATTCAGACCAGTCACTGTAGAGTTTTTTGGGACTGGGATGATGGTGGCCTTCTTTAGACAGGTAGGAACTGTCTCCAGGGTAAGTGAGGAGTTAAAGATGTCTGCCAGCACCTCACAGAGTTGTTTGGCACATTCTTTCAACACTTTCCCAGGGATGTTGTCTGGGCCAGTTGCCTTGTGAGGAGTAATCCTCCTGAAAGTACTCCTCACTTCTGCTGAGGTCACGCTGAGATGCTCTTCTTCTGGTGGTGAGGTGAGTCTGGTGCTGGGTGGTTTGTTCGGGTCTTCAAAGCGTGTGTAGATATTGTTGAGGGCATCAGGCAGTAATCTCTAGGGCCTTGTTCACTCTTGCCTTTATAATCTGTTATGCACTTAATGCCCCTCCACATGCTCCGTGGGTCTTGTGAGGTGAACTGACCCTGGATCCTCTGTTCATGTAGCCTTGGCCCTCTTAATACCAGCAACCAGCTCTTTCCTTGTCCTTCGCAGCTCTTGTGAGTTTCCAGACCTGAAGGCAGTGTTCCTGGCTTCCAGCAGGGTGCGAACCTCTGCATTCAGCCAAGGCTTTCTGTTCGTGTAGCTCTTAACATATCTGGTGGTGGTGACGTCATCAGCACATTTACCAATGTACCCCAGGACTGAGGATGTTTATTGAGGTGTAGTGCCCCCTCATTTTCAGCAGCTTCTCTGAAGACCTGCCAGTTTGTGCGTTCCAAACAGTCTTTCAGTATGGACATATTATTCTATACAGTACATTACATTCAAAAAGCGTTCAATACAAAAACAACTGGACTTTATTTGTAACAGAAGACGTTTCGCTCCTCATCCGAGGAGCTTTCTCAATTCAAAGAGCAGAGAGTGAGAGATACAGGTTATAAGGCTGAGTGAGAGATGTGTGTGTGTGTGTTTTATCTCACTCAGCCTTATAACCTGTATCTCTCACTCTCTGCTCTTTGAATTGAGAAAGCTCCTCGGATGAGGCGCGAAACGTCTTCTGTTACAAATAAAGTCCAGTTGTTTTTGTATTGAACGCTTTTTGAATTCATCATGTCCTGGATGACTGAGAATCTTCACCAGCATACAGTACATTACATTATATTACATACATTATTCTATACAGTATTATTGCACAGGTAGTGAGGAACATTGAGATGAATTATGATGGTGAGGTAGTGACATACATGATAGGTTTACACGATATTGTTTGTGAAATAACATATTACTTCTGAGTATTGTACCTGTACTGATGCGGCTCTTCACAGAATAAAAACAGTATTTTAAAGTGACCGACCTTCATGTTGCTGCATTTCCGGCCTCCAGCCAGTAGTAACAGCACCGAGCGGAAATGACGAGGGCGCCATTTTTGTTTCAGTGTTGTTGTAGTACTGGCCTCCAGCCAGTAGTGGCAGCACCGAGCGGAAATGACGAGGGCGCCATTTTTGTTTCAGTGTTGTTGTAGTACTGGCCTCCGGCCAGCGGCGGCAACACCGAGCGGGAATAAGGCCGGCGCCATCTTTATTTCTTCTGAAACTTCACCTGCGGTTTCTGCTTTGTCTCAGGTTTGTTTCTCCGACACCTTCGGAACCCACCGGTTCGGATTCGAAGATGCATAAAGACCATTCAACTGGTGTTTATTGTCTTTAAACTGTGGACTAGGCGGACCTGTGGTCCTGCTTCGACCAGAACCCTCTCTGCTGTTGCTGCTAGCGCCATCAGCTAACGGTCCGTTCGGGTCGAGTCACTGGTTCCGAGTGTTTTTAATTGTATGTTGTGTTTTATGTCTGACCAGCTAAGCTCGGCATCTCGTTTCAACCTGGTTGAATTAATCAGATTTAAATATTTCCGTTAAATTATTAAATGTGATTTATACAGATTTGATCAGAAACAGTTCCGATGTGTTGAGTAGGTTCATCACATACATCACAACACATCAGAATAATTTAACTGCCGACTTTAAAGGTAACTAACCTTTTTATTCATTTATAGCTGCTTGTGTTGGACCAGTATTTGAAGAACTGTTTGTTTGTTCCAGAGGCCTGGATGAGAGGAGGACATGAATGGGGTGAAGCTGGAAGAGGAGCACGCAGAGGATGGCAGTCAGCAGCTTCCGGCTGCAGGTCAGAGGTCATGAGGTCGTTTCTGCTGCCTTAGTCGAACTGTTCGACTAGCTGAAACTTATCTATACTTATATACACTTGTACTTATTTATACTTGTATATTGGGTCGATACTAGTTGAGCAGTACCGACCCAACTGCCTGAAACATCAGCTTTCCTCTAACCAGCAGGACATGAACACAGTTTGATGTTGAAACTGTACAGGAAGTGTAGATTTTCATTCATTCAACCTTTATTTCAACAGATTAGTCCCATTGAGCCTCGGGGACTCATTTACCAGAGAGACCTGATTTTTTAACAAAGAGTGATGACAACAGTGGATAACAACGACGGCAATACACAATCATAAAAGATGCGTACAAATTTATTTATTTTTTTAACAATTTAAAATAAAGTGGCAACCAAAAGGACAATCAAAAGGAAAAGTAGCGAAAAACTGCTAGATTGTAAAGCAGTGTAGAAAAAAGGAACTTCATCAGGAACTTATCAGATGTTTGAAGCCACTTAGAGAGGTCAAAGGTCGAGAGCTTCAGATCTTTTTGTAAGATATTCCAGGAAACAGGAGCGGAGTAGGAGAAGGTCCTTTTGTCTAGTTCAGTCCTCACTGAGGGAACACTGCAGGTAATGATGTCCTGAGAGCGCACGCTGTAGCTGCACTCACACAGAGACATGTAGGAGGAGATGTATGAAGGCAGCAGACCAGGAAGTGATTTAAAGATGAAAATGTACCAGTGGGAGAGTCTGTGTGAAGTTAATGATGACCAGTTAACCAGTGGATACTGGGTGCAGTGGTGGGTACGGTAGTTACAGACAGTTATGAATCTTAGTGCACCATGATAGACAGCATCCAACATCTGCAGCATCCAACATCTGCAGCATCCAACATCTGCAGCATCCAACATCTGCAGCATCCAACATCTGCAGCATCCAACATCTGCAGCATCTAACATCTGCAGCATCTAACATCTGCAGCATCCAACATCTGCAGGGTTCTTGTAGGAGCGTTCATGTAAATAATGTCACTGTAATCAATGGAGGGAAGGAAAGTCACAGATACAAGGTGTTTCCTAACATTCAGAGTTAGACAGGATCTGGTTCTGAAAAATAAACCCAGTTTAACTTTCAGTTTCTTTACCAAGTTTTCCACGTGGAGCTTAAAAGAGAGATGTGAGTCGACCAAGATACCCAAATATTTGTAGCAATCAACAAACTCAATGGGGACACCATTTGAGGATAAAATCAGAGGAAGAACTGCTGGGACCAACTTCCTGTTTGAAAAAAAGCATCCCTTTGGTTTAATCTGCTTTTAGGACAAGTTTGAGACGGAACAGATCTGACTGGATGATGTCAAAGGTGGACTGCAAAAGCTGGAAAGCCTTTTCAACAGTTTTAGCTCGACAATAAACAACATCAGCATAGAAATGTATGGATGCATCAGGGATGTTTTTACCTACATTACCTATGTAGATTGTAAAGAGGGTGGGTCCTAAGACTGAGCCTTGTGGTACACTATTGTTGACTGTTAAATAACTGGAGGAAATATCTTTATGTTGACAGATCGGAGGCAATGTGTCAACATAATAATGAATGGTGTAGAGAACAAAGATCTAATGTTAATGTTGTGGTCTCCATGGTAACCATCTGTCACTCCCTGTTTAAATCCGGATTAAATCGTCACGTTCTGTGATGTGATGGAATCAGAAGATGAGTAAATTCACACAATAGAAACATTGTTGCAGTACCGGTTCTGCGGAAGCTCATCTTCTGTCACATGAAGTCCACTCACAGCTGAAGGGGACTAACGGGGAGGTTAGACTCTTAGATTAAGATTAAGACTCTGTGTTCATGTAAATGTTTCACCACCTTCAAACTGTTGCAACGACGCATGAGTAGGCATCTAAAAGTCCTCCAGGGACCTGGCAGCTCGTCTGTGCACGTTTCGGCTCGGTGCGAGAACAAATGTTGAGGTCTAAAGAACTCATCAGTCCAAGAAGCACATTAACAGATTCCAGGAACGTCTGAGTGCTGGAGGTAAAACTGACGAGGTGTAATCTTATGATTAGAGCATCGTTGAGTGTTTTTACTGATTTGTTCGAATGTTTAGGACGAGCGGTGCCGGACGATTTATCGGCCCTGATTTCTTTAATTTTGGGAAATGGGCCGATACTTGCATGAGAACCCGATTTTACTGATTTTTTTTATTTTAACAACAATATTGTGAACTTCATTTCTATTTCAGAGCACTACTTGGTGGCCAGTTAAAACACGTTTGTATTGTTGTAGGATGCATGGGTCTGTTTTTCAACAAAATAAGATGGAAAATTGAAGGTTCATTGTGAACTTACAACACCGGACAGTGTCGCTTATAAAACAAAATCGGAGATCGGCCAGAAAACTGCAATCAGTGCACGTCTAGTTGCAGCTCCTCAAACTGAAGAAGTCCTTTGGATAAAAGATGAAATGTTTCAACAAGTGGAACCCGTCCAGAGGATCTGACTTAACTTTGTTAGATTTTTTTTACCCGGATTATTGAGCAGCTTCAGAACGTATCGACAGGAAATGACATTTCTCTGGTTCCTGACGTTGTTGTTTTCCTGCAGGAGAGTCGGCGGTTCTGGACCCACAGAGTCTCTCCACAGCACCAGAACCTTCATCGAAACGCAGCAAATCAAAACGCCGTCACTTCTGCTCGCTGTGCGGCCGAGGATTCACCGGCCCGTCCCGGCTGGCAGACCACATGGCCGCCCACGCCGGCTTCAAGCCTCACAGCTGCTCCATCTGTGGGAAGCGCTTCACCAAGAAGATCAACGTGTACATCCACCAGAGGGTCCACACCGGGGAGAAGCCGTACTCCTGCCCTCACTGCGGGGTCAGCTACTCCCAGAGAGGCTGCCTGAGGAGGCACCTGGTCCTCCACACCTCTGAGAAGCCCTACTCCTGCTCCTTCTGTGGGCGGGGCTTCATCCAGCGGCGCTACCTGGTGCAGCACGAGCGGACTCACACTGGGGAGAAGCCGTTCGGTTGTTCGCTGTGCCCCAAGCGCTTTGCCTCCAGGAGCGGGCTCGCGGATCACCAGTACACTCACGCTGAGCAGAAGCAGTTCTCCTGCTCCCTCTGTGAGAAGTCCTTCTCCTCCGGCTCGTCCTTCAGGGACCATGCCCAGCTCCACACGGGTCGGAAACGACACCCCTGTTTGCTGTGCAGCCGGAGCTTCAACCGACCGGGCCTCCTGAAGAAACACCTGGAGAAACACGCCGACGGTTCTGCTGACAAGGTGAGGCGCAGACCAGGAGGAGGTTTTTATCTCTGTCACACAGCTGTTAGAACGGTTCTGGTCCAGTCCGCATCATTTGATATTCTTCCAGTGATCTGGTTATAGTGGTCCGGATCAGCAGTTCTAACCATGTTCTGAAGGTCTTGGGCTGATTTTTGCCTTGTTCCAGAACTTTGTTCATCACTGTAATAGAAACAATATTTGATTCTGAAGACAAACGTGTGATTTGATTATATGATTAAACAAACCTGCCGTACAGGGCTGGGCTCAGGGTTGTACCCGTCTCACCACACGTCCAAAATGATGGCACAGAACCCGTCCATACCTGTGTGGGTCTTAACCTCTCGGCTCGGTTCTGGCTCGGTCTGATCCTCCAGGGAGAAGTATCTCTGCACTGCTTCCTGTGCCAGAAAGACTTCTGCTCCTCCAAGCAGCTTCAGGCTCACAAACGGCTCCTCCACACGGCGCCGCGCTACGCCTGCGACATCTGCGGCCGCGCCTTCTCCCGCTCGTCCCGGCTGAAGGACCACATCCGGTCCCACACCGGAGAGAGACCGTTCCAGTGCGACGTCTGCATGAAGCGCTTCACCGTGCAGAGAGGGCTGAGGAAGCACCAGGAGATCCACAGCAGGGAGGGCGGCGCCGCCACGGGCCCTGACGACGCTCCCCTGCAGCAGGTGAGGAGAGACAGGTGCTGCAGGAAGACAACAGAGAGACAGGTGCTGCAGG